AGGGGATGCAGCTTGTTGACAGACTCGTCCTCGTGAGTTCTCTGCAGGTCAAGTAGGATTTTCCGCAGCAGTGGAAGACAGAAGCCCACAGCAATTTCCACTTTCTCCTCTTTACTGATCCCATATTCCTAAGGGTCAGGGACGGGGATGAGAAGCTCCATGCCATCTGCTGCCCTCAGGTCTGCAGTACCTCTCCTGTCTGTCCCATAACCTCTAGAAGATCCTCAGTCAGTCTTCATGTTCTCCCAGAGTCAGGCTAGCCCTGGGAACTCTTAGGTACTCGGCTACTTCTCCAAGCTTCCTTTCTAGTTTTTCTTTCCTTCCCTCTCGTTATTCCCACCGCACTCAATCCCTTATACGAGACACACCTGGGGGATGACCACATCGGCCAGAGCTTTTGAAAGACGTAGCAACTCAGCTGTGCCTTGAAGTCCCAGACTCCCATTGTGTTGTACATCATACTTGACACAGTCATAGATATCAGGGATCTTACTGATGTCATAGCGGCCGCTCTTTTGTCGAAAGTCACGCTCTAGCTTGCTCCAGCGCTGTAGCATTAGCTCTAGGGTCTCGCTGTGGTAGAGCTGCAGGTCTGAGAAGAAGGTACACAGTAAATAAGAGCCGGAGTTGCCTTCCAACAAAAGACTTCCAACAACCAGAGAGATCGGGAGTGCGTGAGAAATGTGTCCATGCCTGAGACTTTAGGGGGTAGTCAGTAGTATTCATACCAACCTACAGAGCTGGGGTCTTGCATCCGCTCCCGAATCTGGTGGGTAAGGTTTTCAATCAGGGCAAATACCTGATCACAGACTTTCACAGGATTCTGGATGACAGACATGGAGTTGAGCAGAGAAGTGCTTCCAGTGGGAGCCAGCTGTGAGAAACACAGTTAAGGAAAGAACAGGCTCAGTGGCAATTCCCCAGACTCGGGCTTACTATAAAGAAACTGGCTGCAATGCAGATCTGCCTACTGGCTCACTTCAGTGTGCTCTTATGTTCCCAGGCACCCTAGCAGCTCCATGCCTTCTGATGAAGAGACTGCTCAGACAATTGATCATCTATGAGAGGTCCATCTTTAAAGTTTCTGAGTCCAGAGAAATTAAAGCAGACTTCTACTTCACTTGGAGAACATAGCATATGCTTAGGAAGTGCTGGGAAATGAAGGGGGCTCTGGATTCCTTACCACCTCTGCAGAACGTTCTGATGAGAAGCAGAGAAGGCTGTCTTGCTGTGACTTATAGCACAGTTGCTGCTGCTAACCTGGTTCCAGCTCCAGGGTTTTGGGATTTTTTTGTTTGTTTGTTTTGTTTTTTGAGACAAGATCTCACTATGTAGGCTTGGCTGGCATGGAACTTACTATGTTGAAGGCTGGCCTCAAAGTCATAGAGATCTACTCTACCTCTGCCTCCCAAGAACTGGGATGAAAGGTATCTGCAATTTCCAACTCAAGCTTTTAAGATAGTTACCATCAACACTTAATGTTTTTGTAAAGGACCAGAGTCTGGTTCCCAGCACCCATGTTGGGTAGTTCACAACTACTTATAACTTCAATTCCAGAGGATCTAACACCCTCTTCTGGACTCAAGGCACCTAGACTCAAGTGCACAAGCCCACAAACACATGTACATATACACTTAATAATAGAAATAAAATATTAGCCGGGCGGTGGTGGCGCACACCTTTAATCCCAGCACTTGGGAGGCAGAGACAGGTGGATTTCTGAGTTCGAAGCCAGCCTGGTCTACAGAGTGAGTTCCAGGACAGCCAGAACTACACAAAGAAACCCTGTCTCCAAAAACCAAAATAAATAAATAAACAAACAAACAAATAAATAAATAAAATATTAAAATAAGGGTTGGAGAGATTGTTCAGTGGTTAAGGGCACTGTCTGCTCTTCCAGAGGTTCTGAGTTCAAATCCCAGCGACCCCATGGTGGGTTACAACCATCTGTATTGGGATCTGATGCCCTCTTCTCTCTTGCAGGCATACATGCAGATAGAGCACTCATACACATAAAATAAATAAATAAATCCTTTAAAAATATTAAAAGAGGGGCTGGTGAGATGGCTCAGTGGTTAAGAGCACTGACTGCTCTTCCAGAGGTCATGAGTTCAAATCCCAGCAACCACATGGTGGCTCACAACCATCTGCAATGAGATCTGATGCCCTCTTGTGGGGTGTCTGAAGACAGCTACAGTGTACTTATAATAAATAAATAAATAAATAAAGTTTTAAAAAAAAAAATATTAAAAGAGAATAGAAATGGAGGAGAAAGAAGACTGTATATGGAATAATGAGTTCTAGCTAAGGCCACACAAGGTTTCATTCTTAGTAGTGAAAGGAAGCATAGAGAAAGGGAGAGCTGTCCTGGATTTTCTATTTGAGAGTCTAACACTATCTGGAGGAGGAGGAAAGAAAGAAAAGCTGCTTTGGGCAAACCTAAGTTTCATGTTAGAAAACTGAGATAGACATATCAAATGGAAAAAAAAAAACCTTTGAAGGGGACAGATCCTGTCATGGCAGAGAGAATATGAAGAAGAGAGCCAGCCATCTCAGAGAGCAGTCAAACCTCCAGACTATTCTAGCCCCAGTCAACACTGGACCACAACTTTAGGAATTTGAGCCCAAGACTGTGAGACAATGAACTGGTTGTTTTAGGTCATAATCCCAGAGGAAGTTCTTAAATCAATCACTGAATCATTCCTCCAATCCCAAGATCCAATCCAAGGTCAGCTGTTTCAGAACTAAGTTTTTTGTCTTTTTTTTTTAGATTACAAGATTTAAAACAGTGTATAAGCCACATGGCATATGATACCTCTAGCAGGGCCGAGGGCATACTCAAACACATTAATATTTATGTAACAAAATGTATGATGTTTACACTGATAAATAAGGATCTGAAATAGTCTTGTGATAGGCCTAGCTGCCAAATGAACTTGGATGTCAAACTCATAAAATACTTTTCATTTTTGAACTTGCAGATAATGAAAACTGTGGACGTGAATTTACCCCCAAAGGGTTGTTGTAAGGATTAAACAAAACACTAGAGATAAATACCCTAAAACAGTGGCATATACTAGGTACTATTATTTAGAATTTTAGGAATTAGGTTGCAATGTAGTTGGGGCATGGAGAGGAGGAGAGTGTGACCTGGTCATAGTCCTCGGGGCCAAAGGGTGCATCCTGTTGCAAAATGTGGTGCAGCCGCGCCTTCACACGGTGCTGGCAGCTGCTCAGGGAGTCGCTGTCACTGTCCAGCAGGCCATTCATGTTGGCACTCTTCACCATTTGTACCAAAATGGGTGTAAGCTCCCCTTCTAGAGCTAAGAGGCCCTAGAAGGGAAGCACAGGTCTATTAGCTTCTCTTCCCACTGACGTCCCAGACTAGAGAGCCGCAGACACGGAGTGGAGAGCTGGCCTGATCCGATGCCCACCATTCTCAGTAGGACATAGCAGGGGGTGGTGGAGATGAAAACAAACCTCTCTGAACTAGTGTACCAGCACTTTACATTTTCCATCTAGTCTCCCGACTCTGTTTCTCTACTTACAGACAACAGGGCTGTGGAAGAACTGTAGAGTTTACCTTTGCAAATGCAGCAGCAGTCATCTGGACACGACCCTCATCAGATGCATAGATCTTGAGGTCATGACGGAAAGTGCTATGGAGACGAAGCAGCCCACAGCCGGGGAAGCCAGCATAGTCACCTGGAGCACAGAGGGACTTCATGTATAGACTGTTACAAATATCAACTTCTCCTTTAGTATCCTCATGGCATCTACTCCCTCAGTTGCCTCCCCTGCATCTCACTCTATCTTATCCCAGCCTTGCTGGGTTTCACTCTCCAAGACTTACCCTGGCCTCCAGGATACATGCAACGGAAAGCTCGCCCCAGCTCCTCAGCCTGAACACGGCCATCAGGTGTCAGTTCTCCACCCCACTTCAGCACCAGCAAGAGAGATGGTGCCAGTGGCTCTCTCTGCAGATCTGAGGGAAGGAGGCCCAGTGAGTAAGCCTTCTCTGAGGATAATGGTGGGGACACGCAAACATTCCAGCTCCTGACAAGAACATTGGTAGATGCAGAGACCATCCACAGGTCAAGAATAAGAGATCTAAAAACCAGGTATGGGGACAAATGCCTGTAATCCTAGCTCTTACAAGACTAAGGCAGGAGGATTGCTGGGAATTTGAGGTCAGTCTGGGTTACATAGCAAGATTCTATCCAAAAAAAAAAAAAAAAAAGAAAGAAAAAAAAAAGCCGTGAGACAGCTCAGATATACAGGCATTTGCCACCAAGCGTAACCACCCAAGTTCCATCTCCAGGACCTACATGGTATAAAGAAAGAACTGGCCCTCCTCACATCCACACTGCTCAGTGGCATCTGTGTCCCATCCCACCCCTGAATAAACAAATGTAATTTAAAAACATGTAAAGAAGAAAAGGAGGACGAGTGGGGAGAAAAGGAGAGGAAGAAGAAAAGGAGGGAGGGGAGAAGGGAGGGAGGAGGAGGAAGAGAGCTTAATGGTGATGCAAACGGAAAGGAGTCCTCACCTTGCCCTTCGTTCGATGCTTTCACTCCATGGGGGTAGTAGGTCAACTGCACCTTCCGATTAATACCCGAGAAGTGGCCGTACCTGTGGGGGCAGCGCAGGTTACTTTTTGCCCGGTACCTTGGTTCGTGTTAGCAGGTCGCTGCTGCCACATCCCCCCTCTGCTGCCACATGCCCCCTCTGCTGTCCCCTCTCACATCTCCAGCACGGACTTCAGCTGCTCCAGCTTCTCAGTCTTCTCCTCAATCTCAGCCTCTGGTTCCTTCTCCAGCTCAGCCAACAGCAGCCTCGTAATGTCCAGCACCTCCTAGAGGAGACCACAGGGGTCTTGTAAGGTCATCCCTCATCAATCCTACGCCTTCTCTTTCTCCTTAGACTAGGGCTCCTGACCAGACCTCTGCCTCACCTGGAGCTGCTCCGGCCGCTTAAGTTTTAATTTTCCCGTCTTATATCCACCATGTTTTTCAAATAGAGCAAAAAACCTGAAGAAGTAAAAAGTAAGAAAAACAAGCTCTACTGGGAAGTGTGCTCCACCCATTCCCCTCACAAAGAACTCTCCATCTGAACTGGAACGTCCTTCCTACCTCGGGTGCGTCACCTCCATCTTCATCTTCTGCTTTGGGGTTCGATCTCCGTGACGGATGATTGCAATGACACAACGGAGTTCCATCCTAAGATGAGGAGTGTCCTCAGAGCCACTCTCCCGCCTCACACCCCACCCTACCTCCTAGCATCACCTTCTACCCGGGACGTCAGAGAGCAGAGGAACAGGGGTCTGAGGCGAGACACAGTGGTGGAGTTAAAGGACCTTAACCAAAGGTACAGGCTCTACTGCTTAGACAGTCAAGAACTGGTAGGAAAGAACTGGTCTGGCTTAAAGGAATCCCAAACTTTATGCAGGTCACTACCTATTTTAACTTTTGCTTACATAGTGCCAGATGTGGTAGGGACGATGGGAATGTCCTCAGCTTCTGTGGGGATGGACCACGGTATCTGGAACTGTGGGGCAAGCTCTCGCATGATAGTGTTCCTAGAAGGAGAAAAATAACAAGGGTCAATGATGATGAATCAACAGCTGTATGGCAAATCAACAGCTGTATGGCAAAAGCTCTCTCTCTCGCTCTCTCTCTCTCTCTCACACACACACACACACACACACACAAAATCATGCAGCAAAAAAGCATTAACATAAACCCTAAAACATCCAAATACCCCATTTAAGGCAAAAATAAATGCAGGGCAATGGCAAGCAAGTGACTTCAGTAATAGGAATTTCAGTAATAGGCAGGAACTTCAGTAATAGGCAGGAATTTCAACTTCATTCTTTTTCTTTTCTTTATTTTTGTTTTCAAACAGGATCTCATGTAGCTCAGGCTGACCTCTACCTCACTAGGCTAGCCTTGAACTCTTCAGTCTCCTAATTCTACCTCCTACACTCCGAGTGCTGGGATTATAGACATGCACAACCAGATCCAACTCACATATTCTTTACCTTTCTTTCTTTTTAAGTTTTTTTTTTTTTTTTTTTTTTACTTTATGAGCGTTTAGCCTCTGCCAGTGCCTAGTACCCACAGAGCTCTAAAGAAGGCATCTGATCCCCTAGAACTGGAATTGTGGATGGTTGTGAGCCACCATTTGGGTTCTGGACCCTAAGCCAGGTCCCCTGCAAGAGAGCAACAGTGCTCCTGGCTGCTGCGTCTTCTCTCTACCCTTCTTTTGTTTTTCTAATACATGTGTGGAAAAATTTTTTTAAAAAATTGAAACAAAGTCTCACTATATACCCATGGCTGGGCTGGAACTTACTATGTAGAACAGGTTGGTTTTGAACTCCAAGAGATCTGCCTGCCTCTGCCTCCCTAGAGTTGGGATTATAGGTGTGTGCTACCATATCCAGCTTGAAAATTTTTAATTAATAATTAATTAAATTTGTGCATGTGTGTGTATGTGATGTATATGTGCGGGCATGGATGCATGTCGGGGGGCATGGGTGTGTGTGTATGTGTGGGCATGGTTGTGTGTATATGTGTGATGTGTGTGTATGTGTGTGTATATGTGCGGGCATGAGTGTGTGTGTGTATGTGTGGGCATGGTTGTGTGTATATGTGTGATGTGTGTGTATGTGTGGGCATGGGTGTATATGTATGTGTGATGTGTATGTGTGGGCATGGTTGTGTGTATATGTGTGTATGTGTGATGTGTATGTGTGGGCATGAGTGTGTGTGTATGTGTGATGTGTATGTGTGTGTATGTGTGGGCATGGGTGTGTATGTATGTGTGATGTGTATGTGTGGGCGTGTGTGGCAGGGGACACATGTGCATGGACACGGGATGGTCAGAGGACAACATTCAGTGTCAGTTCTCTCCTTCAGCTTTTACATGGCTCCAGAGTTTGCGTTACCTGGTCCACATCTCCACTCCTCATATATTCTTTTTCAGACAGTCTCACTAAGTAGCCCTGGCCAGGCTGGAAGTCACAGAGATCTACCTCTGCTGCCATTAAAAGCAGGGGCCATCACACCCAACCTTCATACATTATTTTTAAGGACTTATTTATTTTATGTATGTGAGTACACTGTTGCTCTCTTCAGACACTCTAGAAGAAGGCATTGGACTTCTACTGCAGATGGTTGAGAGCCACCATGTGGTTGCTGGGAACTGGACTCAGGACCTCTGGAAGAGCAGTCAGTGCTCTTAACCCCTGAGCCATCTCTCCAGCTTCCTCACATACTCTTAATAGCATACTGTTTTCACATGTAGCCCAGGGTAGCCACAAACTCACTATGTAGCAGTTGACCTTAAACTTTTATGTTGCATGTGTATGTGTGTAGGTGAGTGGGTGGGGGTTATATATATCTATGTGTACAAGTGTATACACCAGTTCATATGTGCTGGTAGAGACCAGAGGTCGAAGTCAGGTATCTTCTTTGATCCCTCTCTATCATATGCTTTAAAACACGTTCTCTCAGGGTTGGGGATTTAGCTCAGTGATAGAGCGCTTGCCTAGCAAGAGCAAGGCCCTGGGTTCAATCCTCAACTCTAGAAAACAAACAAACAAACAAACAAACAAACAAACAGGTTCTCTCATTGGTTGATCTGGAGCTCACCAATTGTCTAGGCTGGCGGGCCGGTGAGCCCTTTGGATCATCTGCTCTTCGTCTCCTTGTGCTGGAATTACAGGCTACACCCAACTTTTTACTTCAATGCTGGAGGTCTATACTTGGGACTTGACACTTACACAGCAAGCACTTTACTGACTGAGCCACATTCTCAACCTTGAACTTCAATTTCTAATTCCTCTCCTACCCCCACACCGCCTCCACCTTTCAAATCCTGGGACTCAAGTATGTACTACCACTGCTCTTGTGAGGGGCTGGGGATTGAATCCAGGACTTCAAGCAAGTGTTCTACTGAGCTACATCTTCCGCTTTTCTCAGACAGGGTCTTGCTATGTAGCATAGGTCTGCCTCAGACTTGAAGTTCTCCTGTCTCAGTCTCCTGAATGCTGGAATTATATGTGTGCACCACCACAGCCTATTCTTGTTTTGTTTTAAAACAGGGTTTCGAGGCCAGCCTGGTCTACAGAGTGAGTTCCAGGACAGCCAGGGCTACACAGAGAAACCCTGTATCGAAAAACAAAACAAAACAAAACAAAACAAAACAAAACAAAACAAAAACCAAAAACAGGGTCTCACTCTGTAGCCTAAGCTAGCTTTAAATTTGTGGTGGCCATCCTACCTCAGCCTTAGCTTCACAAGTGCTGGCTACAGGTGTGCACTATCATACCTAACTCTTCTGCTTGTTTTGTCCTAGGTTGGTTGTTTATTGTTGTTTTGGTTTTTTTTTTTGAGACAGGGTCTTTCTATATAGCCTAGCTGTCCTGGAACTCACTATACAGACCAGGCTGGCCTGGAGTTCACAGAGATCCACCTGCCTCTGCCTCCAGAGTGCTGGGATTAAAGGCATGTGCCACTACACCCAGCCTAACTAACTCTTAATAGGGTGGGTTTTTTTCATTAATTATTGTGTACATAAGTATGCATGATATGAATGTGGGTACATCTGTTATGGCACGTGTGGAGGTCAGAAGACACATTTGTGGAGCTGGTTCTTTCCTTCCATCTTTACACAGGTTCCAGGGGTCAATTCACACAGCTAGATCTGTTTAGCACTGTATCCTCTGAGCCATCTTGCTAGCCCTTAACTGAATTTTTTTCCTCCTTTCCTTCCTTTCTTTTTTAATGTAGGTCTGGAATTCATGATGTAGGCCAGGCCGACCTGGAATTCAGAGATCCTCTGGCCTCAGCTCCCGAGAGCTGGGATTATAGGTGTGCGCCATCACACCTAGCCTAATAGTGTATTTCTTAAGCTAGCCAGTGCTTGGTTAAAACTACCATATCTATGGAAGTTCACTATAGTTATCATTTCTTATTTTTTGAATGGTTTAGGTATTGCAGACTACTCCAAAAGCAAAGTCATAGTATTATTATATTCAGTAAACTAAATATAGTTATTTACACATGGGAAAGAAAAGGCAATCTGCTCTAGCCAACACTGTTGACAGTGTCAGCTCTGAGGAATGCAGTGCTCAGGGAGCAAAGGGCTGAGACATCCTGTCTCCTTTTTCTTTTTTGACTTTTGGATCATTTTTAAAATATTTAAAATAAAGCAAAAAGCTTTATGTATTTATCTATATACACAATCTCAATAGATCCCAGGACAGCTTCAGACCTGCCATATAGCTGAGGGTGACCCTGAACTTCTGATCCTCCTGCTTCCACTTCCCAAATGCTGGGACAACCAGCACAGTTCACACAGAGAAAGCTCCTGAATCCTGCACCCCATGCTCTAGACCACTATGTCTCTTACCCCAGAATCTTGGCACAGTCATCATAGTACTTCATTGAGTTCTTGACAAAGCTAAAGCCATTGACATCACACACAAAAGAGTGACCATTGGCACGAAGAAGGTCAAATCCACAAACTGTTTGCTGCAAAAGCAAAAAGGCAAGAAGACTCAGAGGTGGCTCTCAGATCCTGCTTGTTTCTTCTTTCATCCCACAGCCCTATAAGCCCAACCTTACCTTGAAAGCTACACAGACCTTCCTGGCCACCAGCTTTTCCATGGCAGTCAACATGACTGGATATCGAACCTCTTTCCCCTCACTGTCTCGTTCAACCTTCCCATCCAAAGCTGGAGACTTTCTAGCTTCGGCATGGGCATAATCTGGCCCCACTGTGTACACCTGCAGGTACATAGCACCACTGAGTATGCCCACAGCTCACCCTGTATGTGAGAAGACAGTATGAGCACTAGGTCTATAGACTAGTCCAGAATCAAAAACAAAACTCTGCACAGCCAAGAGTGGTGGCACTTGCCTGTAATTCTAGCTCAGGAGGCAGAGGCAGGAGGATCTTTGTGGGTTCACTGTCAACCTGCTCTACACAGCAAGATCTAGGTCAGCCAGAACTACATAGTGAGACCCTGTTTTAAAAACAAACCAAACAGAGGCAGGTGGATTTCTGAGTTCAAGGCCAGCCTGGTCTACAGAGTGAGCTCCAGGCCAGCCAGGACTACACAGAGAAACCCTGTCTCAAAAACAAACCAAAAAACAAAAAACAAAAAACAACCCAAAAAACAAACAAAAAAAATCCCTCCAAACATTAAGAATACAAAGAACGGGGTCAGTGGGATGACTCAGCAGTTAAAGACATGTGCTGACAAGCCTGATGACAGGAGTTTGATCACCAGGGTTCATACAGATGAAGGAGAGAAGTGAGTCCCCCAAGTTCCCCTCTGACTCCACATGCTTGCTATGGTGCATGGGTGCACGCACGTGCTCGCCCACACGCACATGCACGCATGCGCACACACACACATACTCATAACAAATAATAAGTGTAATAAGACATTTTTTTTTAAAGTAATACAGAGACTGATTTTTTTTTGGTACTGAGCCTTATTTCTCCTTAGGACTCTGGCTGTATTGTCTAGTCTTAATTAACTAATAATTTACCAATTTTATATGATTTACCGTGGCACCTTGCTCTCCATCTGAAAGTGAAAATGAGAACATCTATATCTCGCTTGTTATCCTCACTTGAGTACGAAAGCCAACTGAAATCCTGTTTTATCCTCAAAGATTCCATTCACACATGCTTCCCACCCTGCCTCACCCCGACTCCCACCCTGACATTTATGACTGCTTAAATCTCTGCATCCACCATAACCTTAACGTCTGTGCCATCTGTTGGCATGAATTCCTCATAGATGTACGATCCTGTCTTCCGGACACTGCTCTCAGGAGAGTACACGCTGCTCCGGCTGCCAATCTTTAGGAGGAAAAGGAAGGGGAACAATATTGCCTCAACCTCCAGGCTTTATCTACAAATCCCTTCTCCTAACAACCACCTTCGCTTCTTCGACTCTCTGACTCCCCAGACACTCAAATGTCTCCCCCACCTTACGGAAGAGGCGCTGGCTTCCTCCTCCAGCAGAGCTTGGGTAGTAGATGTAAACATTGTGGTCCTCTGCACTCACTGGCTTCTCCACAAAGGGCTTGGGAAAGACAGCTCCATTAACCTCCACCTGGTCTTCACCTTCTATCAGGTTGCACTCTGAAAGATGGGTGTGTGATCATTCACGAGGCCTAAGGTTGTAGAGTATTTCCAACTCCTATTTCCCTGGGGGTTTAATCTATATGACCTTTACATTTTTATGATCATGTCCTATAACAGATATGCCAATGCTTATATGTGGTATTTAGATATAATATCTATATAAAAGTTCAAAGGCTCTGTCTAAAGACACATGACTCTACTTATAATCCAACAGTCAAAGGCCCACACAGATATATATACAGGAGATGTTTAAAGGACAAATACTGGGCTAAATCATGAATATCAAGCAGGGAATTATCAGACACAGCAAGGTACTCACCCTCAGGACAGGCGGGGTCACGGTTGAGCACAGCATATCGTGGCAGATCAATACCCTCCTCCTGTAGGATCCGGTACACTTCCCTCCTGTCATCCCCAAATAAATTAGCCAGGTAGGAAAAGTGGGGCTGACTAAGTGGAGAGGCTAGGGATTTTATTTGCATAGGAAACCAGAACTCAATAGGATATGATACAAAAAATGAAACCTATTTATCTGACTCCGCTCATCCCAGAGCAGGCTCCCTAAAATCAGGTTACCCACCCCTCTGGTCCATGAGAAGGTTTACCTGTCTTGGATGTAATATTGCATGGCCAGGTCATTGATAAGGAAGGGGTTTCGAAGCTTGGAGTAAGCAACAGCTTTGTCAAGAGGAAAGCCTATGATGAAGGAGAAAAATGGAGACACCAAAGAAACTGAGAGGCGATGCCAGGAGTGGCAGGAGAGACTGACCTATTAGAGCCAGCCGCTGCCTCTGAGCTCCTCCACACACCCCGCCCAGCACTTATTGACCCAGCTCCTCAAGTCCAAGACATTCATCAGGAAAAATGAATCCAATTACATGGAGGATCCTCCCAGAGACCCAATTCTATCCAAGGCCTAAGTGTCCTAGAGTCGTGAGTCCTGTGAGGCTGGAGTATGGGCTTTAAGCCACACGCAGCAAACCCTGAAACAGAGGAGGCAAACTCCTCTTCACTGCTCTCTTGTGGGTTGAGAGGCCGGCAGCCTCTTACTCAGGGTATAACAAGGGTTCCATGCCCATCGCCACTCATCCTTCCCAGACCCTAACCTTTGGAGTGGAAAGAGATGAGGCAGTGGCAGGAAGGCCAGTTCTCCACAGGTTCATTTAGGATCACGTCTTCTCCCAGGATGACAACGGTCAGGTAGTCAAATCTGCAGAGTCGCTCTAGGATTTGGGTCATTGGCTTGGACTTAGATTTCTTGGTCATGGCACAGATGCCAACAATAATTTGAGGTTCTGGGGGCTATAGAAAAGAAGTGCTATCAGTAACTCCAGATTCCCACCTATGTCACCTCCAACACTGTCACACATCTTTCGAGGGCAGTTTCTTGTCAGGACTTTGGACCTAAGGGATAAAGGATGGCTACCACAGAAGAAACACTGTAGGAAAAGTACTTCTTCAAAAGAAGAAGCATAAAATAAAAGGAGGAGGGGCATTTGAAAAGGAGGAGGGGTTTCAGAGCAGCAACCCACCAATCTCTACTGCCCCGCCCCAAGACAGGATAAAGCCTGTTTATAAGAGGAAGTCTTGTAAACAGGGGCCCCAACACCAAGCTATGTCCCTTTGCCTAGACTTACCACCTCATCCTCCTCATCCTCAAGGAGTTCACTGTCACTCTCTTCTGTCCTCATGCCTATTCCACAGGTGCCCAACCCCTCATCTCCAGCTCCAAGGAAGAAGTGGGCCGTAGTGTTCTTGTCCTCATTGGCCGTCAAGGACCACATCCCCGCTGGAACACCCACTCATCCCGCTCTGAAGAAGAGGGTCCTCTATCAGTGTAGAACCCAAGCACCCTTACAGTGGGCAGGGAGAGGGCACAGAGGGCTACACACTGAGAGGGAACTACAAGGGTACAAGAGGGAACAGAAACAAAGCTACAGAAAGGACCAACAAGAAAGGAAACTATGTGACTTGACAGGACTAAAGAGGAGTAAGAGGGAAGCCAGGACTTCTTTCCTCCCTGTTTACCCCGCCCTGGCCATGAACTGGTAAGAGGATCAGGAGTCTAAGCCTTACAGTGCTGGCATGTCACTGATTCTGCCGCAGAAAACAATGTTAACTCCAGGCAGCAAGGGGAAGAGGCAGTTAGTTCTCCAAGGAAGGCTACTGTTGATTCCTACCAAGAGAAGGTTAGACTGACATTTATTTCCAACCTGGGATTCAGTCCACAATATTCCCAGCTCTCTCCACCCCCACAGCACTGCTAGAACCAAGGGTTCAACTCAAGAGCAGAGGAAAGCAACATCTCAGAAGCTTTTGCCTTTAAACTCCATCTTCATTATTACCTGGAATTAATTTGACAAACATTTATTGAGGACACCCTCCATGCTAAGCATTGTATCAGAATGTTAATATCTGTGCATCCCTTTCTGCGTCACCTCCAACCTTAAAAGACAGATATCCAAACTCAGAGAATCAGTTCAAGGAAAGAAGTCTGGTGCTGGTTGAGGGGTTGAGATAAACATCCACACAGCAGTTTTCAATCCATTCTCGAAATTAAAATCTCAATGGTCCAATCACTATCCTCTAGGACTACAAACCCAAGGCTGGTCTAGGACAAGGCCCTCCATAGCAGCAGCTACATTAGAAAAAAGTCCTATCTAAGGTCATATTGGTAATACTGTCTTATGAATTTGGATCAGGAAAAGCAGACAGTCCCACTTCTACACGCATATACCTAGAGTTTTAATGGAAACTCTAGTGACTTTGCTGTACCAGAAAGACATCTGTCAGGAAACATTTCTGGTTATTAGACAGGAAAGGTACTATACTGGTATCTCATGAACAGACGACAGGAATGCCACAAGAATTCTAAAATGTATATTCTATCTCAGGATCTATCCAGTCCAAACTGTTAGCATCACTAAGGTGGATAGACTGCTGTGGGAAGACTCTCCTACACAAGTGGACGCATACAAGGACATTCTTCTCGTTTCTATGTCAAACTAAAACACACACACACACACACACACACACACACACACACACAGATGCCGTAAGAAAAAGAATGGAAAAATATGATGCAGAATATAGAAAAAAACTAATAGTAAATTTTAAAAATAAAGGAGGGCCAGCAAGATGGATCAGTAGATGGAGGCATTTGCTGCCAAGCCTATGATCTGAATTTGGATTTTAGGACCTACACAGTGGAGAGGACTGATTCCCACAAGTTGTCTTCTGACCTCCACAGTGTGCTGTGGGTTCACACACAGATGTAACAAACATAAGTCAGATGCAACAGTCCCCAACTTCACATTGCCAAGGATGTAACACAATTCATTTGCATAAACACCATGTGCTATTTATGACTGCAAAGGCAATTAGTACAAGTTTGTTGGTGGTTTTTGTTGTTGTTTTTAAGCAACTGTTTTACATGTACAGGTGTTCTACCTGTAGGTGTTTATGTACACATTTGAGAAGTCCCATGTAGGCAGAAGAAAGCACCATGTGCTGAGAACAGAACCCAGGTCCTTTGAAAGAACAAATAGTGCTCTTAATCAGTAAGCCATTTTTCCAGGCCCCCGTTAGCAGCAGTTTAAAAGTAGACTAAATTTGAGCATGATAACATATACCTTTAGTCTCTGAACTTGGGAGGCAAAAGCAGGGAGATCTCTGTGAGTTCAGGGCTATCCTGGTCTACATTATAAGTTCCAGGCCAGACAAGACTACACAGTGAGACCTGTCTGAAAAACAAAACAAAATAGAGACTAGAGAGATGGCTCAGAGTACTGACTGCTCTTCCAGAGGTTCAGAGTTCAATTCTTAGGAACCACATGGTGGCTCACAACCATCTGTAATGGGATTAAATGCCTTCTTCTGGTATCTAAAGATAGTGACAGAGTACTCACATAAAATAAATATCTAATTTTTTAATTGGACTGAAAAGACACCTAATTTGTAACAGTGGTTACCTTTGAAGAAAAGAGAATGACAGTAAGAATTTCTAGTGACACCTATACAGCTTGGTCTAGAATAAATGTCTATTTTCGAAGCTCAAAAAAGATCTGAAGCAAATACACACAAGGCTAATATTTACTAGTAGTGGATTGTAAAAGTATGAGCAACAATTATTATTTTCCAAAAATAAAAGGAGTCACTCCACAGACATTCTCCACGTTCAACAGCAGTTCTCAAAAAAAAGACAACTCTAACAAAGCCAGGAACACGAGTAAATTAACTTACTACAGAGTTATAAAGTCTTCAATAATTTCTCTCCCTGTTTTAATGTAAAATTCTTCCATGACCATGGTTGCAGCTTTGATCAGAAAATTATAGAATGACCTTTATATAGATCTCAGTCTTCTCTGTCTTCATCATCTGATGCCTATTGCTCAACCACCACAAGACCAGAACATTCTTCTACACAGCCTCTCCAGTTATGCACTGCAGTCTGTACACACATAATCCTCCTGACGGACCATTTCTTTAAATTCCCTTTCAGTGACCTAACCATGGCATTCCCAAAGATATCTCACAACTTCCCCACTTAGAATTTCACCACACTCTTTGTACCTTTTCTAAAACAGGAGTCTAAGATTCCTCACCACGATGCCCTCTAAGTCTTCCCTGTTCTTTTTCTGTTGTTTTGTTTTTGGTTTTAAACAATATCCAGCCATATTCTTGGAATTCTATAACAACTCTGTAATGGGAAATAACAGGATGGAGAAGTCTGTTCTCAAGCACAGACTGAAGAAAGATGAAGGTCCAAATTCCAAGTTAACAAAGCAAAAATAGAAGCCTGACAGGAATAGCTATGACAAGGCCAGGGTTTACATGGATGTACTTCTGGAAGACACTGGGGTTTTAATGTGATGTTCCCAAAACCACTTTCCTGTTTTCTGTGTTCTTTCCCCTTTATGTTCTCCCCAAACTTGTTGCATAAGAATTCTACACTGGGCTAAAGAGCAGTCTTACTATGGAAGGAAAGGCGGGAAGGGCGGGGGAGGGGGGAACAGACAAGGAGGCAATCTAGGGAACACACACACTACATCAGACCTAGAGAAGGGTATCCAGCGAAGTGAACTGTAACTTAGCTCTTAGAACTGAGAGAGCTTACACAGTTCTCTATATTTTTCTGGATCACCTTGCATTTGGGAAAGGCTCCAACAATAGTAAATACAAACTATCACAGGAACTTCTCACACCACTACCAATATTAGTCTTTCCCATTATCAAAAATGAATCCCCACGCCTGTGCGCCTCTTTTTTCCCGGTTGTTTTGAGGCAAGGTCTCACTCTGTAGCTCAGACTGGCCTCAAACTCAGGGCACCCCTCGCCTCTCAGTCTCCCAAGTGTTGGGATTACAGGCGTGAATTGTGATGTTCCCACTGCCTGCTTCCCACTTCCTTTTTATGGCAAGTTTTTATGTTTCCATCATATTCCTTATTCTGACAGAGTCTGCTGCTTGTTCTCACTATCAGCTCACTCATCCTACCTTCTCTCCCCAGTTTGTAATAATGGCTCTTCACCGACTCCCCTAATCTTACTCCCCACCCTGACTCCCAATCATTAATTTTCCCATTCAGTGACTCCCAGAAGTAAACACTTCAATACTTCAAACCTACACATGAGTCATCACCCCTGTTAACACTTTTTTTTTTTTTAAAGATAGACTCTATGTAACTCAGGATAGCCTTGAACTCGGGATCCTCTTGCCTCAGCCTCCAGGGTACACTTGGTAGCATCTTTCCGTTAATGATGAACACTTAATAATCCCGTATACCGCCCGAAGGCCGTTCCTTCCTCACACTAGCCTTCCTGGAGGTTCACCTCCTCTCCACTGTAACCAACATTCAGCAGACCCTCTCCCCTGGTCAGCCAGCTCCTTCCCCGGCATCCAGCCCCGCTAGTCCTCCCTTCCCTCGGCTTCTCGCTCACGACCCCTCTACCTCGGCCCCCTCCCCTGCAATCTAGCCCCTTTCCTCCTTCCAGAGTCCCCAGCCCTGTCCCTGCAAGCCTTCCATCTTCCCAGGTTCTCCTTATTACTCCCTCAGACCCCTCCACACCCGTCTCCTCTCCCACTGACCCCCTCGGCCGTCCTCTCTCTCGGCGCCGGGTCACGAATCCCGCCCTCCCATCCAGACTGCACTCGCTTCTGCCCGCCCCCGCCGTCCCCGCCTCGCTCTTCCTACGCTGACATTGAGGCCTCCTGGTTGCGCCTCTGTCCAAAGCTGTCCCCACCCGGGACTACCCACGGCCCCGAGCGCAGGCCGAGGCCCTCGCCGAGCCCACCCTCCCCGATACCGCCCCCAGCCCCAGCCACTCCCCCACCGCCCCCGGCCCGCACTCACCCGCCTCCCTCCGCTCGCGCAGCCGAACCTGCCGGCAGCGACACCTGACAGCGGCCCAATCAAAGCGCGACTTCTTTGTGGTCCCGCCAATCCGCAGAGGGCGCGCACCAGCAACAGTCAGGCTGCGTTGGCCGGAGCCTCAGAGTGGAGGAGGGTGGCGCCAAGTGGCCACACGGGGAAATGCAACCTGATGCTGCCCTGCCTCTTGATTTCCTACTGCGTTGCCAGTCCACAACCTTGGTCTCTAGAAGAGCTAACCAGCAAGACCAATGGAATGGAGACACAGGGAGAAGAGGCAAAGTCTGTGACGTTGCACCTCCTTGAGGGGGATAAAAACGAGTCTTTTTTTTTCTGTAAAGCAAAACAAGATGTGATTAAAAATAGACATAAGCTGAAAATATAGACATAGCTGAGAATCGCTAGGGATGCCAGAGACACACAAACAGAGCAGCATATAGGAAATGTTAAGAGGAGGAATAAAGAGACTAATTTGTAAAAGATACAAGAAAATAGCAGACTAGGAAAACTAAGAAAACTGGTTTCTGTCTCCACATCCTGCTTTTTCTCTGTTCTCTAGCCTTGGAATCTGAAATGCTGGGTTTGAATCCTGCTCGTATCTTTAAAACTACGTAGTCTTGGGAAAGTCACTAGGTGTGGGAAAGTCACTTGACTTCCCAGAGCCTCCACTATGCTTATTTGTAAAGGTGGAACTAAATATCTAGTATACACAGTGCTGCTGCTTGTGACAAAGTACTTGAGAAAATTTATGGAGAAAGAGATTGGTTCAGGTTTCAAGAGTTTTGGTCATTAGCTCCATCGCTTGGGCCATGAGGGGAGGCAGAACACAAATGGTGTCTGGGTAAAAGCCACTTGCTTGTTGGCTGACAGCAAGAAGAGAGGGAGGAGGGGGCAAAGGGCAATATGCATTGTCCAAGGCAGCTCACAGAACCCCCTTTCTCTTACTAGGCCTTACATCCTCCCTATCAGCATGTTCCAATAATTTTATCACATTACGAATTCATCAAGGGATAAATAAATCCATTAACTAGAGTAGAGCCCTTCCGGAGAGCTCTGATCCAACTACTTTGCAAAAGCTGCTAATTGACCAAGCCCCAATACATGAGCCTGCAAAGGACTTTTCTTATCCAAAAAGAATGGATATTGTTCATATGAAAGCATCATTTGTGTGCGTATTGTCCTTGAATCTTCATTTAGGAGTTTGAATGTCCCCATTTGTTCTCTATAATTTTAGAGACCTTGGAATTTTCTGGATGCTTCATCTTACTAACACCCACCCCCCAGGCTTCCTGAATTGATAGAACAGTTCTGAGAGCAGAATCTACAAGCAACCAATGGTAGTTGGTTGACTCAACCCTCCTCTACCACTCCAACCATGGGAGCAAGTAACTACACAGCTCCCAAGTATAAAACCTCTCCAGCGACACCACTGAAACACTAGATGAGTCCTCTCAGAAGCGCTATTATTTCATGTAGAAAGGCATTTTCCAAACTTGAATAACTTCTCTATACCCTGGCTGCCTTTACTTCCCTTTCTGTTAGTCTTCCTTCCCACCACCTAGCTCCTGAACAGCTTCTCAGCCAAATAACAGCCCAATTGCTCTAGAAGACTATCTCCTCCCTTTATCTGGGTAAATATACATCATCCCAAGTAATTATATTTACTTACTCATACCTGCTCCTTAACCTGGATAATGAACACCCACAGCATAGGTAACATTTTTTTTTTGGTCTCTCCAAAAGTAAGGAAGCACCACCAGCAGATCTCTGTTCTCTGAGAATTGTTATTGTAATGGAGTCAAAATTGAAATGGATTCTTTCTAAGGATACTCACCAATGAGGAAGGTCAGAAAGGACATATGTAGGGTGGGGGCTTGAGGGAAATAAAGGAATGTATACTAGTTGAGCCAGTAGGGATTATGAAGGGTAATTATTTTTCCCCAAATACTTTCTTATGATTTCCAAATATTGTACTGTCTTCTGAAAGACAGTACTGAAAGACGTATTAATGGCAATATGTCTGCTTTGCCTTGGCTGGCCCCCTGAACCAAAGCCTCAGGTCTCTATCTCAGCTTCAGCTTTCATTCCCCTTCCTGCATTAATAAAAGTCAAGTTGCACATAGTTCTGCTTGTAGCTGTGGAAACAAACCCTCTTGAGTCTGAATGTGCACTTCACAACAGAGAGAGAGAGGACCAGGAAGAAGGCAGAGACTCCCTGATGACCTTATGCCCTTGGATACTACTAGCCTTCACACTCCAGATTAAACTGCGTTAGCAAGCCAGGAAAGGAAGACATGTGGTTCAGGAGACCTGTGCCTGCCTGTTCATTCCACACCCAGTCATCACACCACACCCTCCTCCTCTCTTTATATTCCCCTCCAGTCCAGGAACTGCCAGCTGCAGAGAAGGAAGAGAAGGAAGAAGAAACTCACCATTCCCTGCCCAACCCCAGCCCCACACCCAGAGCAATCAACAGGTAGGCTTTCAGACACTACTCAGAGGGAGTCCTTCGAACAGCAAACAGGTTTAATCCTGGAAAAAGGAAGAGAAATAAAAGATCAAAGGTGAGGCAGGGGTTAGAGTAGAGAAAAAAAAAAAAAAGGAGGACCCCAATGAGAGGCAGGAAATAGCCAAGCTGAAGACTTGGGGGCAGTGAGTTTGGGAGACAGAATAGACGGGATAAGAGCCAATAGCTTTCTGATTCTTAAGGAATCCTTTCTCAACCTTGTTAGGGAAGTAAAGGTGTAGCAGGGAGTTCCCTGGTGCTCTTCCTGGTTCTTGGGGAAAGGTGACCTTGAGGCTGCGGTGTCTTTTCCCATGAGCTCTCAGTCTTCCTCTTGTATCTGTTTATTCTGTGGTTTTTCCTGCGGTTGCCTCTCCTGGGGAAAATGGAGAGATGGCGTGCAGATCGAATTCAGAAAAGAGGCTGGGCAATGTCAACCCCACCCCCAAAACCTAGAAAATAGACGGATTGGGTTTCAGATTAAACAGAGTGGGCATGGGAGAAGGGGGTTTCAGGTTCGGGAATCCCCGTGGTGCTGTCCTCTACTTAGTGCTGAAATCTGACCATCCTCATCCTTGGTGGGCGTCTGTCCCCAGCCTCAGGGAATGAATCTCGGGTCTTCCTAATTACCTGGCTAGTGCTACCCAACCCCACCCCCGCACACCTAGCGCGGTGGCAGGCGGGAAGGCGGAGCCTGAGTGAGCCCCACCCCTGGAGACTGCGGCTGGGGCCTCCCTCTGCTCTGGCTGGCCGCTTGCTTGCTGCGCTTCTTCTGCAGCCTTGTAGACACAGGCTGGCCACTTCAGCTTCAGCCTTCATTGTGACCCCTATTTTGGCTCCAGTCTCCGACCAGGCTCCATCGCCTCTCTATCCGGTTGCATCCTCCCTCCTAGTTCTCGACTTGCTCCAGATCCTGCTCCGAACCCTGTAGACGCATCCCCAAGCCATGGCTGGTCCCTTCTCCCGTCTGCTGTCTGCTCGCCCCGGACTCAAGCTCCTGGCTTTGGCTGGAGCTGGGTCTCTCACCGCCGGGATTCTGCTCCGCCCGGAATCTGTAGGAGCCGCCGCAGGTGAACGGAGGAGACTGTACCCCCCGAGGTATTAGAGCTTGAGATGCACGAGGTGGGGGCTGGGGGTGGTAGTGGTGATGATGGGAATCGAACGGGTAGAGAGGATGACCCTAGCAAAAGACAGGGCCTCGAAGATGGATTTCTGCACAGTTTGGAGATCCCAGCCATGTAGGAAGAGTAGGGCCAAATCTGTAAGGGAAGAACGTGTCTAAGGACATGTCACCTGATGTCACTGCCTCCAAGCCAGCTTTGGCTTTGTGAATTCTAGGTTCACCCACTGCCCAAATCCTTTTTGGATAACTAGAAACTGCCTTTTTTTCTTATCTAGACCTATTCTCCTTGTTCTCCTGCATTCTCCTGAGCCTCTCCCCTCCCCCATCTCTAATGTGCTCACTAGAGAAAAGGAACTGTGTAGATATGGAATTGAGATGTTAGAACTATTAGCAAAGAAAAGACCCTGGAAATCCCTAAAGAGATTACCAAGATTTAGCCTACCTCTAATTCCCCCTCCTTCCAATGAGCAAAGCCAGACATGGCTCACTGGACAGCTCCCAGCTGACATCAGTAGGTCTAGTCTCCTGTGCGCCCTCCCTCCATGGTTACTGGGTACCCCCTCCCCAGCGCTGAGTACCCAGACCTCCGAAAGCACAACAACTGCATGGCCAGTCACCTGACCCCAGCAGTCTATGCACGGCTCTGCGACAAGACCACACCCACTGGTTGGACATTAGATCAGTGCATCCAGACTGGAGTGGACAACCCTGGCCACCCTTTCATCAAGACTGTGGGCATGGTGGCTGGAGATGAGGAGACCTATGAGGTAGGGGGCCCCTCAGAAACCCCAGTTCCTTCCTCCCTCATCTCTGTTCCCTCAAGACTCTGGATTGTCTATACTCAAATTTCTGACCCAGTGATATCAATCTACAACTGAAGTCTAGGAAGGCATTTCTTCTTTATAACCGGCTCTCCCTCTTAACTCCTTTTCAGATATTTGCTGAACTGTTTGACCCAGTGATCCAAGAGCGGCATAATGGATATGACCCCAGAACAATGAAGCACACCACTGACCTTGATGCCAGTAAAGTGAGCCAAATGTGACACTTGCAATGCGTGCAGCCTTGTGCACAGCATTCCATATCTCCAATCATTACACCTTGTTTCCTGACTCATGGTTAGACTGCTGAGCTCATGATATTGATAAGAGGAAGAATTGCATATCTTGAAGAATAGCAGATAGGAAGACATATGGATAAGAGTCAGGATAATGGAGTTGAGGAGAATATGGTCAAAGTACAAAATGGTGAAAGAAGTTTTAAGAAGTGACTATGTCCTGGCTGGGTGTGGTGGCTCACACCTGTAATCTCAGCTCTAAGAAGGCTCAGGAGAGACACTCCTCCCTCAAAAAAAAAAAGAAAGAAAGAAAGAAAGAAAGAAAGAAAGAAAGAAAGAAAAAGAAAAAAGAAAG